TCTCCATCCCAGCTGCAGCCTAGACATGACAGCAGTAAGCACTGTGACCACCATGTGGTTACCTGGGACCGCAGGGATGAAACTAGGAGAACACTTGGTGTACAGCGGTCTTTGGAAAGGGACCCAGGTGCCCCGTGGACTGTGGAGCTCTGAGATTTCCAGGGAGGCTCTGGGACAGCAGCGTGGAAACACTGGTCAGATCAGAAAGGCAAGGTGAAGGCCGGGCGGTGGTGGCGCACGCCTTTAATCCAGTGCTTGGGAGGCAGAGCCAGGCGGATCTCTGTGAGTTCGAGGCCAGCCTGGGCTACCAAGTGAGTTCCCTGTCTCGAGAAGAAAAAAAAAAGGCAAGGTGAGACAGAGCAAGCAAAGCACAAGAGTACTTTGTTTTAGGTTTTTTTTTTTATTCCCTTTTGCTTTAAATAACTAAGTTTGGTTTACTTATTATTTATATATTTTCTTATCTATTTTCCTCTTTCCTAAGGGAGTTGAAACTTTCAATAAATACTTAAAAGCACTTTAGGAGAGCCAGGCAGATCTCTGTGAGTTTGAGGCCAGCCTGGTCTACAGAGTGAGTTCCAGGAAAGACGCAAAGCTACACAGAGAAACCCTGTCTCAAAAAAAAACCAAAATAAATAAATAAATACATAAATAAATAAAAGCCCTGTGGGGTCAGTCTGGAAGACCAGAGTGGGGAGGTGTGGGAGAAGGGGTAGGAAAGCTAACATTACAGAGAGAAGGGCAAAGGGAGACAGTGGTGGCACTGGCCCCTCCTGCCTCTCCTTCCTTCAGGGGCGAGAGCCCTGTACTAAGTGATAAGCGAGTCAATTTGAAGTTTATCAACTGACTTTTTATTTGGGGAATTTTCCAGCTGTACCAACTTTGTTCTGTTACTAGTATTTTTTAATGATTCTTGATTCTAGTCCCTCTTCTTGACAGATCCATTCTTTAAAGGCGTGAGTATGAGTTGGCCATCCATTAGAGGACACTCTTAGAAAATGGGGATGCTAATAATGGTTAATCTTTGTGCTCCCATGCCCTACGTACCCCAGTATGGGTATTGTTCCCCCCAGGACTGTTATATGGGTCAAAAAGAACAAGTTGTACAGTCTCAAATGGGCTCTTCTTCCTCGTTCATCTTACGATGCCAGTGTATACCAGGAGCTCCCTAGCTGGAATAAGGAGGTATACAGTTTAGTTAGAGTTGACTATCAGACACGTTTTAAGAACTTGGAGAATCTTGGAAGAGGCTTGTAATTATTTCTACCCTTGGTTTGTACTCACATTTGCTCCCTTACAAGAAGAGTTTCTCTTTGATGTGCTCTGTGTGTTGATACTCAGGAAGAGTGGATTAGGAGGTGGGAACAAAGGGGGTGGGGGGAAGGAAGGGAGAGGAGAGGAGCGAGGGGAAACTCTGGCCAGGATGTAAATAAAACAAACAAACAAACAAGCAAATAACAATCTGAGTTTCTCCATCTTTGCAAAGGTCTTTTGAAATTCTCTTTGTAATTGTGTTATATGTTCACATCAGATATTCTTACCCACATCTCTAACCTCAAGTTACATTTGTATGATTATGGTGATCTGGTCACCAGACTTCTGCTGTCTCTTGTTTCATTATATCACCATATTGTTGAACACAGTGAGTGGCTTCTAGTAAATGCCAGTGTGTGTGTGTGTGTGTGTGTGTGTGTGTGTGTGTGTGTGTGTGTGTGTCTCACAGAAAGAATGATCACTTTTCTTTTTGAGGCAGGCAGGGTCTCACTGTGCATCCCTGGCTGGCCTGGAACTTGCTCCATGGTCTAGGCTGGCCTTGAACTGGCAGGGGTCTGCCGGCTTCTGCCTCCTGAGTGCTGGGTAAAAAGCGTGTGCCACGGCACCTGGCATACTCACTTTCCTTTTCCTTTTCTGTATGCAGTTCAAGGTCATGCTGGCCGACTGGTGTTTGGCTTCCTGAATGGCAGAGCCTGTGTGATGATGCAGGGCAGGTTCCATATGTATGAAGGGTACCCGCTGTCAAAGGTACATCAGGGGCACGAGCTTGGTTGGACTTGGAGGAGGATGGGAGGGCTGACCTACTTTATTGTCTAACTATTGGGCTTGGTGAACTTTTGATTTCTTGTTTCCTGGTGTGTATTATGCACGCCTTTGTGGGTAGGCTCGTGAGGTTTTGAAAAATCTCTTCTGACCTTTTTGCATCTAAGGTGACATTCCCCGTGAGGGTTTTCCATCTCCTGGGTGTGGACACTTTGATCGTCACCAATGCAGCTGGAGGGCTCAACCCCAATTTTGAAGTTGGAGATATCATGCTGATCCGCGATCACATCAACCTACCTGGTTTCTCTGGTCAAAACCCTCTCCGAGGCCCCAATGATGAAAGGTGAGTATCTTAACCTTTTGCTCTGGATGCAGAGGGTCTAGGTTTATCCAAGAGCTGAGAAAGTTTACTTGGTGCCATTTAGCTGAGATAATCCAATCTGTGCTCCAGGTTTGGAGTTCGCTTCCCGGCCATGTCCGATGCGTACGACCGGCATATGAGGCAGAAGGCCTTGAGTGCCTGGAAGCAAATGGGGGAGCAGCGAGACTTACAGGAAGGCACCTACGTGATGTTGGCAGGACCCAACTTCGAGACTGTGGCCGAGAGTCGCCTGCTAAGGATGCTGGGAGCAGATGCTGTTGGTGAGAAGGGGGGTTTGGCTGGAGGTTTGAGGGAAGGATCTGGTAGAACAGCAAAGGGGAGGACGAGGGTATGGATCTGGGGAAGGATGAATCAGATTACTAGAAAAGTGGTGACTACAGGCTTGAGCTTCGACACTTTCAGAATATCAGTACAGCTGCCCTCTGTGCCCGTGGCTAGGAGTTGGCCTCATATCATCAGTTGCCACGAACGACAGAAACAGATTGTATTGGTGAAGTGTGTAAAAAAAACTAGTAAGGCTGAAGAGATGTCGGACAACATATGCTCAACATGAGTGGAGGGTGAGGAAGTCACGTGAGCGCCGTCTTCTCTTTCTCCCCATCAGGCATGAGCACAGTCCCAGAAGTTATTGTCGCGAGACATTGTGGGCTTCGTGTGTTTGGTTTCTCACTCATCACCAACAAGGTCGTCATGGATTATGCCAACTTGGAGAAGGCCAATCACAAGGAAGTCTTAGAGGCTGGGAAAGCAGCTGCACAGAAATTGGAACAGTTTGTCTCCATCCTTATGGAGAGCATCCCACTCCGGGAGCACACTGCCAGCTGATTGGCCTGGGAGTGCTCTGCTGCTTCCCTGTTGGGGTCCAAGTAGCTGTCTACTCGGCTCCCTCGATGGGGCCGCTAGTCTATGCTTAGATTATAGCAGAAAGGGAAGAGGAGGATACCTGCTCTTCGCCTCCCCGTGTCCTTACACCATTCTGATGTCTGTCCCTCTTGCCCAGTTGCCTTCTCAAAACAGCTTAACTCTCACTCCTGGAAGAGCCGGCACTCATGCCCCACCACACTTGGGATAGATCTATGCCTTCACACAGTACCTTCTAGATCTGGAGATCATACACATGTTCCTCTGGGCTCAGTCGGCTTTCCCCTAAAGCACTAGAGACCAAAGACCAACCCAATACCTCTTGGATTTTATTTAGTACCACAATGTTTTAAGAATAAAGAGATCAAACACTTCCTTTTTGTGTGTAATTTGGTATCAAGCTGGGGCATAGGCCAAGATAGGCTTGGATGGCTTTGGGACCACATGTCTTGTATGAGTCTCTGGTTTTCAGAAGCAGCTACGGATGGAGAAAAGGTGGTAGGTGGGTAGCAAAGGATGATGGAGAAAGAATGGTGGTGTAAGGGGCGGGGTGAGCGACCACTTATTTTAGACTCGTCTCCCTCCTTCATTTCTGCTTTGCTCCGGTCACTTTCATGAGTATCTGCATCCCACAGCTTCACGTCTGTATCTTAGCTGCCACTTTCTTATGCATTCTTTTTATGCTCTGCTCTAATTTTTCAGTCATTATTTTCCACTCCATCCTGGCGAAGCAGCAACAAATACCTTTTGCTATTTTTCACACTGCTGGCCAGGTTCTTTCCAACCCCAGTCAAGCCTGTAAAGTTGATTCATACTCAGTTTCTCTTTAAGCACCATGTGATGGCTCTTCTTGGTTGTCAACTTGACTATATCTGGAATTAATTAAAACCCCCAATGGAGGACACACCTGTGAGGGATTTTTGCTTAATTGAAATGAAAAGATCAACTTCTAGTCTGGAGCTTTGAAGTAGAAAGTCACACCTTTAATTCAGATCTTGAGTTGGCAAGACACACATTTAATCCATATCTAATCTGGACCACTCCTTCTGGAAGCCTATATAAGGACATGGAAGAAGGAGGCACTTGCTCTTTGCCCGCTTGCTCTCTCCCTGCTAGCAAGTCCAGTCCTTCACTGGCATTACAGACTACTTCTTCAGGATTCCAGTATATACTGAAAACCAGATGAGACATCCAACCTCATGGACTGAGAAACTACTGGATTCTTGGACTTGCTGTTCATAGTCAGCCAATGTTGGATAAGCTGGACCATAGCCTGTAAGTCATATCTGTCTGTCTGTCTATCACCTTGCTAACACATTAAGGAAACTGCACTACCCTGTCATCCAAAACTGAACAAATCTTAGGAGACAAGAGAATGGCTCAAAATCAAGGGAACTAGATCTGGAAGGATGCCCTAATCAAAAATTTCTGGGAAAAACTAATGAGTTCACTCTTTTGTCGAGAGGCCTACAGGGTGCCTGCAAATGGACTGGGTTTCCTTGGTTTCATGGAAGGTATCAAAATTTACACTCAAATTGTATTTTTTCCTTGATTCTACCATGGCCAGCTTTATCATCAACAAATACTTATGTACTATGTGTGGTTCATTGTCTTAAATAATTATAACATAAGCTAGTATAAGAGGAAGTAGGTGGGATACAGAAAATGTATATAAAAATAAACAGAAAGGCTGAGATAGTCATGCCTTTTGTCTGTCAATGACTTTTTACTAATCTTTTTTAACTCTATATTGTCATGATTCAGAATCATCTTTTTCCACTAAACTTTGAGGACATCCTAATAATTTTTTAAAGGAAAAGAAGGAATACACTAATATGTGGAAAGCAGTATACTGTAAGGGCTAATGATCAGATCTGCTTCAGGAATTCAAAGGAGAACTAACTTGGGAGTGGGGGAAGAGGGTGTGGAAATGTATTCATGAGACTTGAGTTAAGAAAGACAGGTGCTGAAGATATCCCAGAAGGCACTACTTAAACACATTTGGGAATTTTTTATTATTTAAGACAAAATGGCTAGGCTGAAGAAATGAACAGAAAGATAAGAGGTAAAGTAGGAAAGGAAGACGTTGTTCAGGTCCCTAATCTAGGTTGAGGTATAAAAACTGCATTTTCTAGTCTAAATAGATGGCCATTGAAGTCCAATAAACTAAAGACCTACTCTAACAATTGCACCGATTATTTTGTCTGCCTGAAATGAAGCAAAAAGTGCTATTTTTTTCAAATGGTAATTTTTGCAGTAGAGTCTTGTAGCCCTAAGCAGACTGGGACTCAACTCACTGTGTTGAGCTACAGCTTTTAAAAAGGCTTGAAATGGGGGCAGGACAGTACAAAAGGAGGAGCGAATGAGAAAGATGCATCATGACATGTATGTGTACTAACCAAAAAGATGACCGCAAAAGGCTTTGTGATGGTGAAACTGTGTTCATCTAAAGTGAACTCTAAAATAGTAAAACTGTTAATATTAGATCTTTAACCTTTTCTCGGGTTACAGGTTTTTTGGTTTTTGTTTTGTTTTGTTTTGTTTTGTTTGTTTTTTTGTTTTGTAGTTAGTGTTAGCTGTTAGAGGCTGTGAAGACAGCTTAGTGGTAGAGCACTTGGTTCGTGTGTGTGCAAGAGCCTAGCTTCAGGGCCCAGCATCACACACACACACACACACACACACACACACACACACACACACACACACA